CTACTGGTTCAATTTCCTTCTCTGACCATTATAGGTACACTTTAATTCCGTGGCAGTATGAGCTCAGGTGATTTATCCAAACAGGTTGCCTATGGATAGTGTACAGGTGCAAACACTGCTTTTCATGTCTGTGATGTGCGCACTGCAGGGGTTTGTATACTTTTGGGTACTCTGCAGCTTCGCTGGCTGTTGATTTATCTTTATAGATTGCCAACAAGAGCAGCAGCTTTTCTCAGGAAGGTAAAGTTCTGCACACCTGGCTGATAGCAGCAGGAAGTGACCACTGAGGCAGCTTTCTTCACAGGTATTCCCCATGATCAGACCGTACTTCACTTCCCCGAACTTTTGCTGTGTTACTCATAATATATATACAAATGTCCATAGTCAAATATGTGTTATTTCCTCTGTTCTTATTTCCGTATTCTCTCTCTCTTCCCCAGTTGCCTCAAGTCAATAGAAACCAATGGCTAATTATAGTGTATCTCCTTATGTGCATTTTCTAGCACATTTTTTCCTTCAGCTTTGCCTCCTTCCCTAGTGCTTCCTTTAGCTGGCCATAGCTTGGTTCATAACTTTCAACACTTTGAGTATGCAGGGAAGAAATCTTATCTTCTGGTTCTATGGGTTTTATAGGGTTTTATGAGTGCTATGTGAGCCACAGGAGAGCTGCAGAATTCTTCCGCAGCCTCCTTACAGACAAGACATGCACACTGCTTTGAAGCACAGAGCAAGGAGTGGAGCTCCGCTGCCCACTTGTAAGGGTGTCATGTTATTTTCTGGCCCTCCTGCAAATGCAGCATCACTGCCTTGCTCAGACACAGACAGCAGAGCCTGTGTGGAGACTGCCTTGGAGGTGAGGTCTGAGAACCTCAATTTGAGAGTGACTTAGGTCAGCCTCTGCCCCATCCTCCTGGGAGGGTTTATCCTGCTGGCTAATGCAGCACAGAGTTCAGTGGAAGGACGACTTGATCTGGGGCTCAACTTTCTAGAAGGGTGTGAAATTCTCCCACCACCTTGTTCCTTCTTTGTGTCATTGCTCAGCTTGCTGAGTTGCCAAAAGCAAACTATTCTAAGTGTTTGAAGGTGTAAAACTGCCCAAAACAGCTTCTTGCAGGGAGAAAATTACAAAAAACAGGCAGTGAAATACATCAGTGGAAACCCCAGCTGTTTTCTGGGTGGGATACAAGTGTTGCTGTCATGGATCTAACTAGCAATCCCTCTTCTGGTCCAGCAGTAGATAAAAGCAGATGCAGAGAACAGAGCAATGGTCACAAGAAACATTTTTACTGGTAAAAATTTCCTGTCAGGTATCTTGGCAGCTGGTAATTTTCTGACATTGTGGTTCCAGGGAATTCGTCTGTCTGTCCATATTTATGTATCGGTGAAGGTAACTCTGGAAACTCTCAATAACCAGCTGATTGCTTAATTTCTCTTTGAATCATGCTGAGCTCAAGGTTTTTAAGGTACTTTATTACAAACTATAACTGTGTTGTGTAATAATGTGCTTTGTTACACAACACAAATGTGTTTCCCTTCTATTTGCTGCATGTCTTTTTAATTAGAACATTCCTTGCTTTACAGAAGCAAAGGATAAATAAAAACACCCATTTACTTTCTCTGAATCATTCAGTACTTTGTATGCCAGCCAGTAAGCACCCTGACCTGGTTAAATGCTGTGTATGTGTCTGTATAGTCCAGCTGTGCACTATGTGTTGGCTGCAAGATGAGATCTATTTCCATTAATTTTCTCGGGAATCTTCTTACATGTAAGAGAAAATGCAAACAATTTACAAAACAAGGCACAATGGCAATGCCAAGCTTCCTTCCTAGTATAAAGTCTTTGTGCAAAAAAACTGAACCCCAGATCTGTGTATGCTATGGTAGTACTGGAGAAAAAGAATACTCATGAGCAAGGTAACCAGAGGTGGCATCTGGTCAGTGCTACCCAGGTGGGAGTTTCAGGTGGTTCCAGGTGCCTGTTCCTGTCTGCCACATGTCATTCATTCCCTCCTCCACAGAAGACTGCAAGTACAGTACACTGCTATGTCTAGGAAGGGATTTGAGTGCTGCGTGTGGTAAGAAATAGGAGTTTGGCGCTTGAATCAAAACCTGATGAGATTTGTGGTGGCTCTTCTGTCCCAAGGGATTTCATTCCCTGGTCTCACATTGTACCTCACAAAACCTAAGTCTTTTGCAGGAGCTAACTTTATACTGTTTAAAGGCAAATAACCTGTGCATAAAGGCTGTTGCCAACGTGTTTATGTATCAAGCCTGGCTGTGGATTGCATTGGCAGTAATGACAAGAAAGTATGAATTTAATACGATGGAGCAGGAGGGACAGCAGGGTATAGGTAGTGGTTAACTGCGCTTCTGGACAGATGTTCCTTAAGATGTGCCTAGAAGTGGTTGGGATCACATGTGGCCTGATTCTGTGTGGACCACTGTGGTGATGGTGATATAATGTGTGTTGTAAAAAACCAAACCAAAACCAAACCACAACAAAGCAAACAGATGGAGTGGGGGATGTAATTGCTGGCTCCTGATGCTCTCATCTGACCAGATGCTGGCCTGGATCAGTGAGAGATCCTCCCTAAATACGGGATTTGGTGGAAGAGCTGACATTTCTCACCGATGCTCCTTAATTCCTTCCTCCATAGGGAATTTGAGCCATGTTCAAATTTTCTGGATTTCTTGACCTGCTTTTGTGGCATAATAGTGTCTTTTGGTTGGCAATACCAACAACTTTAGGAATGTTCAGGTAACTCAGTGTGGTTCCTTTGCTCATCACCTGCAAAGAGGGAGGCCTCAGTGCTTTGCAGGTGATTTCTTGCACATCCTGGTCCAAGTCCAGACCACACTGGGCTCCAGCAGTCCAGATTACTAGTTTCAGGCAGGGAGGTGTGGCGTGATAGTGTCTTTGTTGTTTTGCCTAGCAACAGAATGTTTGGCACTGGGTGGAAGCTGGCCAGGGCTACCATAGATAGAGGGGTTTGGAGAAGTGGAGGATGCGCTTTCCCTCTGCATTCCCTTCTGTTTGTCCTCGCTCTCTTTTTGCCTTTTGGAAGAAGGCAGAGGGAAAAGGAAGATTCCGTCCCTGGATGAGGTGAGCCCTGTTCAGCCAGGAGTGGTAAGGGTTGTCCTTGATAACTAGGGAGACCACCAGGCAAAGGCACAGAGTGGGCTTCACAGGGAGGTCTCACCACACAGGTCTTCTTGCTCCAAAGAAAAAACAGGGGCAGGTTAGCTGTGTTTCTCAGCACATGGCTGGAAACCTGGATTTGCTTAGAGGCAGCTTCTGAGAGTGACATTTCTCCAGGAACGTAGGTACAGGAAGGATATAGGTAAAGGGGACACCTGGATTAAACACTGAGCTGGGATTAGTTTGGAAAAGAAGTGAAGGAAAACACCTGCTGGCCAAGGGAGAAGGTGGGATTTCTTGGCTGTGTGGGGAGATAGGTCTGTTTTTCTCTTCCTTTGTACCTGGAGGTTGCTTGTAAAACCTGTAGGGACTTGCTGAGCTGTCTTCTGCAACATAGGTAGGTGTTGGCTTACCCTGCTTCCTTTCCTGGTCTACACCTTTTGCCCCCAGGTGAGATAGGGATATGGCATTTCCTTATCCTTTCTGTTGCCCTTAGAAGAGAAATATCAAAGAGAAAGATGCACAGGGGAAGTCAAGGAGAACATAATAATGAAGCAGCTGTACCTTAACAGGCTGCATTTTAACTGAAGCTACAGCTTGCAAGACCTGACATTGGTGGGAGTGGTAAAGATGCCTGAGTTAGTCTTGCAGCAAGTGTTGCATGCACATCTCTATACTTAATTTTACAATGGGATCTGCAGACATCTGAGCAACTTCTGGTGACCCCACCATTTTACTCACTCTGAAGCATTCTGGAACAACTTCTTCTCAAGAGAAAATATTGTGAGCAGTTCAATTTAGAGGCAAAGTAGAGTTAGTTTAAGCTAAGCAGAGCTAAGTTTAGTGCTGCACATGAGTGTGGGCTCGGGTCTAATTTTAATTCGAGGATTGCTACGATGCTGCTTGCACTCAGCTGGTAAAGTTATATGGAAAAATGATCACTGTGTTTAGTTTTTATTGTGGTAACACCTCAACTGTTAAGTTGATATACAGAAATGTTACTAAATACCCTGCTGCATAAAAAAGGGCTGTGTGTGTTTCTGCAGTTGAATCTGAGAATGTGTCACACGGGAGAGAACAGGATGGCTGTGCTATTTCTCATTACTACCCTTCCTGCCCTCAAAGGTTACATTATATAGTCATTCCAGTGTATGGAACTCTTCATCCATCTCTCTGTTCAGGGCAGGTTAGCAATGTTTTCCAGAACAAATTTGGACAGAGGGAGGATGTTGGGCTTGTCAGACTGTTTTGGGAGAGGACGGGAAGGAAACTGATTTCCCCTTGGACATCTTCACAGGCCAGCTCCAGTGTTGGAGACAATGAGGATGTTCTGACTGAATTCTAAAGCTTTCTGTTTAAGATACTAATATCTACCCTTAAGCATGCATTCTTTGCAGACTCACAAGAGCTCCCCTTGCTGCTCCCATTGAATCCCCTGGAGTTACTCAGGAAAGTAAACAATCCTTCCTACTCACTTGGAGGACAGTCATGTTTCTGCAAATGCAGGGGTTGCTGTACTTCAGTTTGTGACTCATAAGAAATTAATAAAAAAAGGTTTGGAAAATAAACAGTGGGAGTCTTGTTCCAACACTTGTTTAGCTGGAAATTATCTGAAATCCAAGTTGGTTTATTGCCATTAGTCAGCTAATTCAGGCAAACGAAATCTTTGACTACTATGGTAAAGTCCGACTCTCAATTGACATGATCAAGAAGAAACTGTGTATTTCCGGTGGCCTGTCCTGCTAAGATGTTGTTTATCCGGTAGGCAGACTAGTGTGCACATGGCTTTGTTAGAACCTGGAACTACCTCTGATGCTTTGCTTCTGATTTAAAATACCACCATGTCTGTGTTTACTTGCAGGATGAAGAGACACACGTGTCCCTGCAAATGTCCCTCACGAAGGAAGATCCTGATCCTGTGTCTTACGGGGTGGCTGATAGCACTGCTGAAGCTCCTCCATGTTGAAAGACACTTTCTTCCCTCTAAGGGCATTTATTTGGTTGAGCCCTTCTTAAGCACTTCTTCTTATGTTAGAAACAGGTATTCCTACCTAAGAAACGAGTTCCAGTATGAAATTAATTGCTCGTCTATATTTGAACAAGATCCCCATGAAATTGGCAAGAGTTTAGAGATAAGAAGAAAGGAGATAATAGATTTAACTGATGAAGATGTTGTCGCAATGACAAGTGCTTGCCATGTGTATCGTTCTCTTAGGAAATATGACCTAAAGCCTGTTTCTCCAGAGGAGGAGAGTTTTCCAATTGCCTACTCTTTGGTTGTTCACAAAGATGCAGTAATGGTAGAAAGACTCATACATTCACTGTACAGTCATCAAAATATTTACTGCATCCATTATGACCAAAAAGCAGCAAAAAGCTTCAAATCTGCTCTGAACAATCTAGCTAAATGTTTCCCCAATATTTTCATTGCATCAAAATTGGAGAGAGTGGACTATGCACATATTTCACGGCTGCAAGCTGATTTCAATTGTTTGTCTGATTTGATAGAGTCTCCCGTTCCCTGGAAGTATGTTATTAATTTGTGTGGCCAAGATTTCCCTTTGAGGTCAAATTTTGAGTTGGTGGTTGAACTGAAGAAACTCCATGGAGGAAACATGCTGGAAACTATAAAGCCGAGCAGTAGCAAAAAAGAACGATTTACTTATCATTATGAACTTATGAAAGTGCCTTATGAATATGTGCAGATGCCTATAAAAACCAACATTTCCAAGGATCTGCCACCTCATAATATCGAGGTATTTGTAGGCAGTGCCTATTTTGTTTTAAGCAGAGAATTTATTCAATATACTCTTAGAAGCTCTCTTGCAAAGGATTTTTTTGAGTGGTCAAGGGATACATACTCTCCAGATGAGCATTTCTGGGCCACTCTTGTACGTGTTCCTGGGGTCCCTGGGGAAGTTCCAAGGTCAGCCGAGGACATAACAGACCTACAAAGCAAAACTCGTCTGGTGAAATGGAATTATCTCGAAGAACATTTATATCCTCCCTGCACTGGTACCCACCTTCGCAGTGTGTGCATCTACGGGGCTGCAGAATTAAGATGGCTTCTGAAATATGGACACTGGTTTGCCAACAAGTTTGACTCCAAAGTGGACCCTGTCCTGGTAAAATGCTTGTCAGAAAAGCTGGCAGAACAACAGAAAGAGTGGGTATATTTGTCGTCTGATAAATACTTTCTGCACATAAATTCTATGAACGCCTCGCTATAAGCAGCACTGTCTTCCCTACTGTCAGTACTGTGTGCTGTTATGGCACAGCACATGAAGTTCCTCTGCCTTGCCCTGCTGCAGGTATGGGCAAGCAACATCTGTTCTGCCTGAAGTTCAGGGCCCTGGAGAAAGAGGAGGCTGGCCATTTATTTATAAAAAGTCATGCCTCTCTGATTAACTGTGTTGTAGATTGCCACAATAATTCTGTAAGTGTTCTTCAGGGTGATTCTGAGAGGGTGAGGTTTGCTTTTGGAAGCTCTGGTGCTGTCTGTCCCAGTGGAATATTTCAGAGATGTGTTTTGCATCAAGTGTGTTTGTGTTTTTCTAGGAAAATCCAACACATCTGTCTGCCTGGTTCGTTTTTCTTCACTTTTGTTTTTCCTAAAGGTATGAAACAAAGACCTCTCTATCTGCTACCTCAGGAAAACTGGAAGTACCCACCTCATGGACAAAACCATGAGGTCAACATGACACCAAATGAGCCATGTGCCCTCATCTGAAGTCCCAAACATCCCATCTGTGGGAGCTAACAAAGATCTTTGCAATGTGAATATGACTGGACAATATAAGGGAAAGATCCTCAGATACCACAGTGGCCATAGTGTTGTTCTCCCAGCACATCTGTGCATTGCTTTTCCTTCTGTGAAACACATGCTTGGGTGCTATACCTTGCCTATGAAACTGGTGGTGGTTGAAACAGAATTATGTGCTGTTATTCTTCAAAGGCTTTTACAAGCGTGCCCTAAGGGCGGTCATTGCATCCCCATAGAGTAGATAACTGTTCCCAAAGGAGGTCAGTCTTCATTTCTGTCTTTGCCCATAGAAATATCCTCCTGTGAAATCCCATTCATAGAATCATAGAATAGTTAGGGTTGGAAAGGACCTTAAGATCAACAAGTCCCAACCCCCCTGCCATGGGCAGGGACACCTCACACTAAACTGTATCACCCAAGGTTCTGCCCAACCTGGCCTTGAACACCACCAGGGATGGAGCATTCACAACTTCCTTGGGCAACCCATTACAGTGCCTCACCACCCTAACAGGAAAGAATTTCCTCCTTATATCCAATCTAAACTTCCCCTGTTTAAGTTTTAACCCATTACCCCTTGTCCTATCACTACAGTCCCTAATGAAGAGTCCCTCTACAGCATCCCTATAGGCTCCCTTCAGATACTGGAAGGCTGCTATGAGGTCTCCACGCAGCCTTCTCTTCTCCAGGCTGAACAGCCCCAACTTTCTCAGCTTGTCTCCATATGGGAGGTGCTCCAGTCCCCTGATAATCCTCGTGGCCCTCCTCTGGACTTGTTCCAACAGTTCCATGTCCTTTTTATGTTGAGGACACCAGAACTGCACACAATACTTCAAGTGAGGTCTCACGAGAGCAGAATAAAGGGGCAGGATCACCTCCTTCGACCTGCTGGTCACACTCCTTTTGATGCAGCCCAGGATACGGTTGGCTTTCTGGGCTGCAAGTGCACACTGCACCTGGCTCATGTTCATTTTCTGATTGACCAGCACCCTCAAGTGCTGCTCTGCAGGGCTGCTCTGAATCTCTTCTCTACCCAACCTGTAGCTGAGCCTGAGATTGTTCCAACCCAGGTGTAGGACCTTGCACTTGGCATGGTTAAACTTCCTAAGGTTGGCATCAGCCCACCTCACAAGCATGTCAAAGTCCCTCTGGATGGCATTCCTTCCCTCCAGCGTATCAACCGAACCACACAGCTTGGTGTCGTTGGCAAACTTGCTGAGGGCGCACTCAATCCCACTGTCCATGTCACTGACAAAGATGTTGAACAAGACCGGTCCCAACACAGATCCCTGAGGAACACCAGCTGGACATTGAGCCATTGACCACAACTCTTTGTGTGCGGCCATCCAGCCAGTTCTTTATGCACCGAGTGGTCCATCCATCAAATTGATGCGTCTCCAATTTAGAGACAAGGATATCTCTTGGGACAGTGTTGAATGCTTTGCACAACTCAAGGTAGATCAAGTTCTGTATTCCCATCATAGAAGGCCACCAAATCGGTCAGGCAGGATTTCCCCTTAGTGAAGCCATGCTGGCTATCACCAAGCAACTCGTTTTTTGTGTGCCTTAGCATGCCTTCCAGGAGAATCTGCTCCAAGATTTTGCCAGGCACAGAGGTGAGACTGACCGGTCTGTACTTCCCCGGGTCATCCATTTTCCCTTTCTTGAAAATGGGGGTTATATTTCCCTTTTTTCCAGTCATCAGGAACTTCACCTGACTGCCATGATTTTTCAAATATGATGGCCAGCGGCTTAGCAACTTCATTCGCCAGCTCCTTCAGGACCTGCGGATGGATTTCATCAGGTCCCATGGACTTGTGTACGTTTAGGTTCTTCAGATGGTCTTGAACCAGAACCACTGTCTAAACACAGTGGATAACAAGTGATATTTCTAATTGTTGCTGTGTTAAAATGCAAAGCATGCAAAGTTAAGCAGTAAGCATAAGAATAGCCATATTGCAGAAATGAAGACCCTTTCTAGCAGTATCTTGCTGTTCAAGTCTTGTGGCCACCACCACAAAACCAGGCTGACAAGTTGCTGAGCAAGCCCTGGTTCAGCTGTAGAGCAACCGTTCTCCAACAGCCTCTGCTTTCCATGGCTCTGCCAGGCCTCCTGGTAATGGAGCAACCCAGGAGACTCCTTGTGGCTGGACTCCCTATGCTACAGTGTGAGGGAAATGTTTGTTAATGCAGGGGTCTCTGTAGAAGCCCTTGCTGCTCAGAAATGCCCCTTGGCATTTTGGAAGTTTCTTTGGGAGGTTGCTCTGCCATATATTTGGTTTCAGTGTTCCCAGTGGTCCCTGAGTTACAGCTTGCTCTATGCCACTGTCCCCTTTGTACCCCTCTGGGTTTTATTAAGGGGCCTCTTTCCATTCTCTGGGAATCTGTTCTTATTGATTCATAAATTGCTGCAGTAACAACCATTTCTCACACCTGTGAGAAATCTTTGTTTCTTGTTTGAGTTGGAAGAACCAAGTAACTTTTTGGTCTCAGGCTCAATTTTCATTCATAAATTTAGTCATGATCAAGTCATCTGTGGCTTAAGACTGGGTTTGAGAGTTGGGAGTTGTGCGCATTTTTCCTCATTCACCTCAGACAAGTCATCCAAGTTTCCTGTTTCAGCTCTTCCAGCTGTAAAATAGGAACAGCAATGTTCTGTTACATTGCTAAGCACTTCTGAACGTATGGGTGGTGTGGGTTGGTTGCACTGTATTAATTGCTTATCAAACTATTTATGTAGTTTGTGGAAACACAGGTCAAGTATTTCTTTGATGTATTGTTTCTGGAATAAATGGGGATTATTTTTAAAGTACATGTTGCTTACTTCAGTGACTTGCCATGTCTTCCCAGAGCTGTCCTGACTTGATGTGATTTATAGACACCTTGTAGAAATGAAATGTTGACAGTATTTACAGATTCATACATCAGTACTTGTATATACCATAGAGAATCCCCATGTGGTAAAAGGTTAATAGAAGGTGATGGTAGGATTCCAGAGGGCTAAGCCACAGCCTTCTGTACACACAAATTGATCATACATTTATATTTTTTTATTTTTTTATATACATTTATATTTTTTTATTCAGTTAAACTGGCTTTTTGTATGTCTATTGTACTGGTTTCAGCTGGGATTGAGTTAATTTTCTTCCTGTTAGCTGCTGCAGTGCTGTGTTTTGGCTTTAGTCCGAGAGCAATGCTGATAACACACTGATGTTTTAGTTGTTGGTAAGTAATGCTTACCCTGATAAAGGACTTTTCAGTCTCTCACACTCTGCCAGTGGGGAGGGGCACAAGAAGCCAGGAGAAAGCGAAGACCTGACCCAAACCAGCCAAAGGGGTATTCCATACCACAGCATGTCATGCCCGGTATAGAAACTGGGGGGATTCACCTAAAATGGATTGATTGCTGCTTGGGTATGACATATGTAGGCACATTCCTATTTGTGTTTGAGAGGTTTGCTCTGCCATAAAAATTACCCATCAGCACATTAAACTTAACTGAAATAAATAATTTTAATCAATATGCAACTTTGTGCTACTTTAACTGAATTGGGTTAAATGATACTTGTAATTAACAAGTTTGAAATAAGGCAGCTCATGCTTCCAACGTAGTAATGAAGTGAATGTGAAGTTCGCACCGTATGGGACAGCATCACCCATTACAATGGCACGTTTAGTAGCTGGGGAAGTACTAATTGCAGAGGCACAGTTGCAACTTTATGAAATGCTTATTTTCTAATGAATAATAGGATTTCTGGGTTTTGAAGGTAATGTTAAAGACTGTTCAAGCCTGTAGAAAGGCAGTTAACAAAAATCATAGATCACTGAGGCTGGAAGATCATCTAACTGAACCTCCCACTTACAACACGATTGATGCTAAACTTCGGCTGGGTTTCTTGGGCTTTGTCCCAGGGAGTCTTGCAGATCTCTAAGGAGGATTATGCAGTGTTCTGCAGCAACGTTTTCCAAAGAGTCCGGGAAAAGAAGCAGCCAAAACATAAGTTCCTTAACTTTTGAGTGATTTTATCTTTTTTTGTCTTTGTGTCCAGCAGTGCAGATGCCATACTGATATCTGCATCATAGTGAAGCGATCAGACTACAGGGGTGGGTAACAATTTCATTTTATAGCTTTGACTTCTTCACCTTTGATCTTTACACAGGTAGGTCTTTCTTTGCTGAAAATGGACCTGAGGCATGATCCACAAACCCCATTCCCTCTGTGAGAAAAGTGGCTGAACACAATTTTTAGCAAAGCAAATGCGAAGTTGTATTTAGGCTGGAAATTAGATTATAGACAGTTATCTGCCATTCTGCTTTTACAGGGATTTTTTTTTTTCTTTTCCTTACTAAAGTTCAGACATGCCTTTCCTCCCCTCCTCTTCCCATTCCTCACTTCTGAAAAAGATTCCTCTTGTAAGCTATTTAGCAAATTTGAAATGCACATATATTTGCACATATTGGATGGTTTCCGCTGGCTTTGTTTAGCTGAAGAACCCCCATGCTGGCTTTTTTCCATCCATCCTGCCCTGTGCTGGCTGCATGGAGCATTTGGGCTATCCATTAACCTTATTTTCCTGCTCAGAAAGGGTGTGTGAGCAGGGTGCTAGTGGTGTTCCTGGTTGTAAGCTCTTGTGCAAAGGTCCAGCACACCATTCTGTTGATGGCTAAAACAACAGAAGCATTGAATGCATTCTAACACGCCAACATCAAGTAAGGAATAAAAGGACATAATGAGCTTTTATGAAAGAGATGCAGCGACAACATAGAACTTCTCTGGCTAATGACTTTACTAGGCTGGACGTGTAGTCAGGAGGATAGTATATACAAACATAAATGCCTCAATACTATTTTCTTTGACATTGGAATAAAGGGATGTGACAGGAAAGACTAGAAATTAGACACCTAATCTGTAATTGTAATTTAAAACAGACTTGGCCTGTTGAGCATTTCTAGGGCTGCTGTGTCATTATTGAAGCAGAATGTATAAACATGTTAACTCCACATTTTCTGCCGAAATACTGGTTTGTATTTGGCACACTAGCCACTGTGTTTACAGTGTGACCTTGAATTTTAGTTTAGGTATAATAGTCTGTTCCTACTTGGTGTTTTTACAGAACTTGCATCATTTTGGTGGCGGTAATTTCCGCTCATATATAAATGATACTTCAGAAC